ATTGTGTGTGTGTGTGTGTGTGTGTGTTTAGGGAGGTGGGTGTGGTTATAAATTGGCCACACAAGGATCCTTGTAATGTTAGAACTGTTCAATATCTTGACTGTGGTGGTGGATACACGAACCTACACAAGTGACAAAATCGAATAGAACTAAATACACACATACACACACACACAGAAGTGAGTACAAGTAAAACTGGGGAAATCTGAATAAGATGGGTGGATTGTATCCATGTCAACACGCAGGTTGTCATACTGTACTGTTTATCACCTTTGCAAATGTTACCATCAGGGGAAAGGAGTAAAGGGTGCATGGGATCTCTCTGTATAATTTCTTACAAATGATTGTGAATCTACAATTATCTCAATAAAAATTTCAATGAAATATTATTACATATTTCAAAGCACACAGGAAAATACAGAAAATAGTTTACCAATCTACATACCCGTGACTCAAATTAGCAGATATTAATACTTTGCTTTGTTCCCGATTTTCTTTTTTTTTGTGTGAGATCAGCCCTGTGCTAACATCTGCCAATCCTCTTTTTTTTTTTTTTTTTTTTGCTGAGGAAGACTGGCCCTGGGCTAACATCCGTGCCCATCTTCCTCCACTTTATATGTGATGCCGCCACAGCATGGCTTGCCAAGCAGTGTGTCGGTGCGCGCCGGGGATCCGAACCGGCGAACCCTGGGCCACCGCAGCGGAGCACGCGTACTTAACCGCTTGCGCCACCGGCCGGCCCCTGTTCCCGATTTTTAAAAAAATACACACCTAAATAAAAACTCTATCCTATCACCTCTCTTCCTTCTTTTCTTCCTCTTCCCATTAGGTACTGTGGTTTCATGCATGATTACAGTGTTACTATTTATACAAAAAAGTATTAGTCTGTGTGCTTTTTACCCAGTGTAATGATAAAAGCATGGGCTGTTGAGCCAGGCAGCCTTGTAATGTTGACTATGCCACTCACTAACTTGGCAGGCGACTTACTCATTCTGTGCCTCAGTTTCCTTATCTGTATAATAGAGCTGATAACAGTTCCTACCTCATAGGGCTATTGAGAAGATTAAACAGATTAAAATAAGCAAAGCATTTAGAACAATGCTTGGCACACAGAAAGCTCTCGGAAAATTCTGACTATCAGCATCACCATCACCATCACCATCGTCATATTGCACGTAACCTAGTTCAACTTTTTAAGAATTCAACTTTATGTTTTAGAGAGTTGGCCGTGCTGATCATGTAGATCACGAGATCATGTTAGTGTCTCTTGAAGGTTTCCATTTTGCACAAGTAAACCACAATTTACCTATCTAGTCCTTTTCTGCTGGACAGTGAGGTGGTTCCAATCTTCTACTCATAGGACAGTGCTGCAATGGACATGCGACTCATTCTTCACACCCAACCCGAACACCTCACTCTGCAAACACCTTCCAAACCTCCAAGACCAGTTGCCACTCCCAAGCCTCAGCTCCTAGGGGAGGGCTCCTTGTCCCACTTCTCCTTTGCTGTCTTCTGATGTGCTCAACAACTTCTTCCCTGCCCCACTGTCAGCCCGTGAGGGTAGGGGCCCGAGCAGTCTCATTCACCATCTTTCCCACACACACTGGTCCAGGGCCTGTGCCAAGGATGCAATAAGCAAGTGTTTGATGGCCTGATTCTGTGCAACACTTGTCTCGACAGATTTTAATTTTATATGTACATAGGTGTGAATCATTTATTGAGCCTATTATGCGACAGGCAATGTTCCACTTGCTTTGTGTATACTAACTCATTTGATTCTCATAAGAGCCCCGTGAGGTAAGTACTATTGTTACTCTCATTTTACAGATGAGGAAACTGAAGCACAGAAAGGTTAAGTACCATGCCCATGGTCACACAGCTAGGAACTGGTGGAGCTAGGACTTGAATCCAGGCAGTCTGCTTCAGAATCTGTGTTCATAACTACTACATCTCACTCCCGTCTCCTCCACCCCAGTCAACAAGCACCTCAAGAGCTGAGTCTGTGGCTTATTCTTCTGATTCCCAGCTCCTAGCACAGGCCTCAATATACAGCAGTACAATAAATATTTTTAGAATGAATGAATGAATGAGAAGGATTCAGGGATCTCACTAGAAAGACCAGATTAGATTGTCAGGGGTTAGAGGAAGAAGAAGTGGATATTAACTGAGCACCTAACATGGGCCAGGCCCTCAGCCAAGCTCCTTTCAGATGCCACCTTAAAGGATTTCAAAAAGAAACCAATAGCTCGTGATCTCCCAGGGGCCTGGAACATTACGACCAAATCAGGGGGCCGGCCCCGTGGCTTAGTGGTTAAGTGCGCGCGCTCCGCTACTGGTGGCCCGGGTTCGGATCCCGGGCACGCACCGAGGCACGGCTTCTCCGGCCATGCTGAGGCCGCGTCCCACATACAGCAACTAGAAGGATGTGCAACTATGACATACAACTATCTACTGGGGCTTTGGGGAAAAAA